TATGCCTGCCATCCCCAACCTCACCACTACTGCGCTGGACTTCTGTAACAACCTGGTAACTCATCTCTCTAACTCTAGTCATTCCTTTCCAGTGCTTCAAAAATTGGAAAAACAGTTTACATAATGCACCATTCTTTTTTTTTAATTTTATTAATTTATTTTGATTTATCAACAATCACTTCCATATCCTTTTGAGTTTAAAATTTTTCTCCCCCTTCCTCCCCCCACCCCTCCCCAAGATGCGCACAATCTGATATAGGCTTACATTTACATTCCTATTAAACATATTTTCACATTAGTGATGTTGTAAGTAAAAATTAAAACCAATAGCAGGAACCATCAGAAAGAGGAAACAAAACTCAACAGAAGGTAAAAATAAGTGATAGCGATTTGACTTCCATAGATCTTTCTTTGGACATGGACAGCATTTTCCATCCTGAGGCCTCTGGAGATGTCTTAGATCCTCGTAATGCTGAGAAGGGTTCAGTTTAACAATTAGTCATTGCATAACATGGCTGTATTGTGTACAAAGTCTCTTGGTTCTGCTCACTTCACTCAGCATCAGACCATATAAGTCTTTCCAGGTTTTTCTGAAGTCAGCCTGTTCATCATTTCTTATAGCACAATAGTATTCCATTACATTCATATACCACAACTTGCTCAGCCATTCCCCAATTGATGGGCATCCTCTCAATTTCCAATTCTTTGCCACCACAAAAAGAGCTGCTATGAATATTTTTGTACATGTGGGTCCTTTTCCCATTTGTTTCATCTCTTTGGGATATAGCCCTAGAAGTGCTATTGCTGGATCAAAGGGTATGCACATTTTTGTAGCCCTTTGGGCATAGTTCCAAATTGTTCTCCAAAATGGTTGGATCATTTCACAACTCCACCAACAATGTATTAGTGTTCCAATTTTCCCACATCTTCTCCAACATTTATCATTTTCCTGTTTTGTCATGTTGGCCAATCTGATAGGTGTGATGTGGTACCTCAGAGTTGTTTTGATTTGCATTTCTCTAATCAATAATGATTTAGAGCATTTTTTCATATGACTATAGATGGCTTTAATTTCTTCATCTGAGAACTGTCTGTTCATATCCTTTGACCATTTATCAATTGGGGAATGGCTTGTGTTCTTATAAATTTGTCTTAATTCTCTATATATTTTAGAAATGAGGCCTTTATCAGAGAGACTGGTTGTAAAAATTCTTTCCCAATTTTCTACCTTCCTTCTAATCTTAGTTGCATTGGCTTTGTTTGTGCAAAAACTTTTCAATTTAATGTAATCAAAATTATCCATTTTGCTTTTCATAATGTTCTCTATCTCCTGTTTGGTCATGAATTCTTCTGTTCTCCATAGATCTGATAGGTAAACTATTCCTTGTTCTCCCAGTTTACTTATGGTATCAGCCTTTATATCTAAGTCATGAACCCATTTTGACTTTATTTTGGTATATGGTGTGAGATTTGGGTCTATGCCTAGTTTCTGCCATACTCTTTTCCAGTTTTCCCAGCAGTTTTTTTTCAAAGAGTGGGTTCTTATCCCAGAAGCTGGGGTCTTTGGGTTTATCAAATAATAAATTACTATAGTCATTGACTATTGTGTCTTGCATATTTAACCTATTCCACTGATCCACCTCCCTATTTCTTAGCCAGTACCAAGCAGTTTTGATGATTGCTGCTTTATAATAGAATTTAAGATGTGGAATTGCTAGGCCACCTTTCTCTGCATTTCCTTTCATTAGTTCCTTTGATATTCTGGACCTTTTGTTTTTCCAAATGAATCTTGTTATTCTTTTTTTTAACTCTATAAAATAGTTTCTTGGTAGTTTGATTGGTATGGCACTGAATAAATAAATTAGCTTAGGTAGGATTGTCATTTTTGTTATATTAGCTCAGCCTACCCATGAGCAACTGATGTTTTTCCAATTATTTAGATCTGATTTTATTTGTGTGAAAAGTGTTTTGTAATTGTGTTCATAGAGTTCCTGGGTTTGTTTTGGGAGGTAGACTCCTAAATATTTTGTAATATCTACAGTAAGTTTAAATGGGATTTCTCTTTCTATCTCTTGCTGCTGGGCTCTGTTGGTAATATATAGAAATGCTGATGATTTATGTGGGTTTATTTTATAGCCTGCAACTTTGCTAAAGTTGTTTATTATTTCAGGTAGTTTTTTACTTGATTCTCTAGGATTCTCTAAGTATATCATCATGTTTCTTCTTTACCTATTCTAATGCCTTCAATTTCTTTTTCTTCTCTCATTGCTAAAGCTAACGTTTCCAGTACAATATTGAATAACAGTGGTGATAATGGACATCCTTGTTTCACCCCAATCTTATTGGAAATGCTTCTAGCCTGTCCCCATTACATATAATGCTTGCTGAAGGATAATGCACCATTCTGACCTTATTACTCCTCCACTTTAAAGTATTCAGTGAAATCCTGCTACCAAAACAACAAAGTCCAAACTTCTTGTTTTCATTATTAAAGCCCTCC